TTTTTAATCGTTATTAGTATCTTTTCAGAAAATGTTGCTTGGCGAAAGAGACCTACTTATTACTTATAACCTGAAGCCATACACAGAAATTGAAAGATAGCCTGAATTTGCACTACATCTATATTTACGCCGGCTCCATACGTTGGCCCCAATATTGGCCCCAACGCTACTCGTCCAACGTGTGGATCTTGAATATGACATTGGTCCCAACGTTGGAGCGAGCGTTGGTAGTTGGCCGGCTCGTGTCGGTTTCATCAAAGGAATCTGCGCCAACGCTTGTCTGTCCTGTGATCTGTCCACACGTTGGCGCTTTGCTCAGTTCTGTTGCAACAAGCACCGGCACGGACAAATGAAAAATTTATTGAACTTTATCAAGCACATCCAATAATATAGGATGCAACTCGAAAGGATCATAAAAATAAAAATCTTAAATAGGTAATGAAAACTTTTAAATGAATCTCCAGTCGCTAAAAATAAAATCTAAGTGTCACAGCATGGAGTACTTTTGTTGGTATTGAGTCTCTGAATACTGTATAACTATAGGTTGAACAATTCTATTGATGCACTAAATAGGGATCTTGACACAATACTCGTATGGTCTAAAAATTTTGGCATTAATGTAAACCCGGCGAAATGTCAGGCTAGACTTGTGGGCAGCCGCGTGATGATGAGTAGGATCGACAGCACTAATCTCCATTCTATCCTGTATGACTGCTCCTCAATACCGTTTAGCGATAGTGTTAAAGACTTGGGACTTCACGTTGATGTTAATTTGAACTGGCTGGAACGTTGCGTGAGCTATATCGCTTGAAAAACTTTCTACCTAGCAAAACCAAGGCAATGCTTGTGCAGACCTTAATTTTCCCCATAATCGACTATGGTGATGTGTCTTACCTCGAACTGAATGCAGATCTACTCAATAAACTTGACCGTGTTTTAAACAACTTCATTCGATTCGTTTTCAAACTCCGTAAATATGACCACGTGTTTGCCCATCGCTCCCTTTTGAAATGGATGACTATTCGAAAGCGTAGAGATGTCCATGCTCTAACTACCCTGTTTTCTTTGTTGCAATCACCTAATGCTTCAAGCTACCTCACTCCACACTTTCAGTACTTATGTACGAGTCATACAAAAGACCTTTGATCTTCTAATAGACTACTTATGTGTCCTGCTCATCACTCTGACATCATCCACTCTTCCTTTTTCGTTACAGCCATTATCCTATGGAATGCACTCCCCACAGACATCAGAATGTCCGCCAGTCGGTTTGCTTTTAAAACCAAGTTGCGCAATTTAATATTAGATCAGGCAGAATCATAAAAATTGCTATCTCATTTCTACTAGGCATAGTATTTATAAGTATGTATTGTATTTATTTTTATTATATTAAATATGTATTATGTTATATATAGTATGTATGTTTGTGTTATGCTTATTTTTTTATATATTATTTTTTCTCTCAATGATTACATATGCACCTGCTTTTATCCTTTATTTTAATCTCCACATCACCTAAAGGTTGACTGGCAGAGAATGCCTAAGGCATTAATTAAGTCCGCCTTTGTACGATTGTGCATAAAGAATTAAATAAATAAATAGTCAAAAAAATATTTTTATCCGTAACTCTTGTTCAGGACTTCTTTTAGCTGACAAGAAGACCAAGCAAAAGCAACTTACCAGCTCTTTATCATAAGTAATGAATGAGATTTAAATAAATCATGTTATTACCAAAATAGTACGTATTATAACAATAATAAATATAACTTCCAAAGTCTGTGGGACATAGGTTGGTACATACAATTAGTCGTTATAGAACAAAGGCTATTAAATACATGCATTGCGGTCCTTAAAATAATCATCAACTTTATAATAGCGTGTACTCGTAAGTATGTTCTTTACATGAATTTTAAATTTATTTAAAGATAGGTCAATTACCGCAGAACATTACACTATGAAAATAACTAAAATATACCAATCTTACTGTTTCAACATTTGTCAAGAGTCTAATTTCTTAACATCAAACTGCAGAACTTAGTCTACTTGACAAGTTATCATATATGAGGATCCCCTTGTAGTCGGGAATCTAGTGTAATACCAAGGAACTTTTTCGATTCTAAACTCAACTTTTCTTTATGCATTTCGTTTTATTTGAATTGAACTTTAAATTATTATTATCAAACCACTGTAGAACATTGTCGAGGACATCATTTACATCGTCAAAACAAAATTTGCCTTCTTATTTTTAAACACTAAAGAGGTGTCAACTGCAAGTAATACTGTCTCGCACAAATTCTTGGTAAAGTGAGGAAAATCATTAATGTAAATTAGGAAAAGCACTGGTCCTAATACCGATCCCCGAAGTACGCCCATAGTAATGGGTGTCCCTGCAGATTTCGCTTCATTAATTACTACTTTTTTATTCTAGCAGAAAGATATGATTTTATTAGATTGAATAAATTTTTCGTCCCACCATAATGCTCTAATTTCCCCAACAGTATTTCATGACTAACGTAGTCGAATGCTTTTGACAGATCGCAATAAATGCCGATAGCATCTTTTTTATTCTTCCAAGCATCATAGATATGTCTCAGAAGTGCAATTCCAGCGTCTGTGGTCATTTACCTCTGCTAAAACCAAACTGATTTTTGTGAAGTAATTTATTTAACGAAAAGTGTGCAAGCAGCTGATTGTAAATATTTTTTTCAAATACTTTATTTAGCGCTCATAGTATAGATATTGGTCTGAAATTACTGGGATTAGTCTGACTTGTCGCCTGCCTTGAAAAGTGGGATTATTTTACCATATTTCATTAAATCAGAAAAAGTTCCTTCATCAATGCACTTATTAAAAATAAAAGTTAATTGAGGCGCTATATATGGTATTATAGATTTGATAACATAAGTTGAAACGCCCCAAAGGACTTCAAAGAAAGGTTTTTGACATTCATGGAATTAAATGTTTTAATAATTCAGTTGACGTTAACATGTCTAAATTAAAATTCATTATTGCAGTTATCAGCAACTGATTCTAGATGAGTAACCGCAAGTCTAGAGCATGAACTTAGATTTCTAGTGATTTCTATTGATTTCTTAAATGTATCGGCAATTGTCAACCTATAATGAGTATGTGCGCATATTACATATATTTTTCCCCGTTTCTTAATTTATGATAGTCCAGGTTGTTTTTATTTTCTGAATTGTAATTTTTTTGAAATACATATTTGCTTTTGCTGAAACATATACTTTCCTAAAAATTTTTGAATAATTTCTGACACATTCAATAAACTTTGGATAAGTCGAGGCACACTTTAGCCACTAAATTTCTTCTTTTGATTAGTAAAGTTAATTGTTCTGAGTTTAAATATTTTGTCAAATTCTCCCTTATTAAGTTAAATTGTTATAGACATTATTTATATTTCCCAAATTAATAGCTGTCAACTGAGTTTGATTTGCAGAAACACTGTTTTTAAATTTATCTAAATTACTTTTGGTAATAGGTCTACAAATTATATTGCGTTAAGGAGAAACATCACGGTGCTCGAAAGTTGCTAGAACTTCGCTATGATCAGATCGAATACAATTTACTATCGACTTTTTAAACACCTTATATTTACAAAAAATATTATCTAAGCAAGTAGCAAATGCGGGTAGGTTCATTTAAAAATATTTTCTAAATTAAAATATTTAAAAAAGTTCAAAAAATCACTTGATTTAGCACATTTTATTAAAATATTTATATTAAAATCACCACATATCAAAACCTCTGTAATTTTTACTTTCTTATCAACTTTGCAAACTAATTTTAATGCATCCTCCATAGCAGATTCATTTCATTACACATTGACAGTAGTCTCCATCAGTTGATCTATATACACATAATAACATACTGTTCAAGTTCCACACATGACAATTCATTATGTCGCTCAATTGAGAGGGATACTACTAGGGATGCTAACTTTACCTTCTTTATATTTTAAATAATTATTTATTATTATTATTAAAGATGTATGTTTTTTAATCGTACAGAATGAAGTCATAATTTTATAATTTTTATAACCTGAACCTGAAAAAAATCTGCTCAATAAAAGCGGTAGAGCAATTTCTCTCAATATGATTCTATCCATGGAATTTTCTATTGCAACCTTTGAAATCTTTATAAACCTGGAAATAATGATTTTGATTGCCGTAGTCTAAAATTATACTTATTAGTAATAAGATACATCACTAATAAGTATATTACTTTTAGTCTACGGCAATCCAAGCTACAGCTAATCGGGTATACTGTATGTGATATCGCTGCTGTTGACTGATAATGATAAGCCAAACGTTCAACCATAAAATTTTAGAATAATAATAATAATTTTAGTAACCACCAGTTTCGATCGGACATTATAAACTTAGTTTGGAAACAGAGAAAAAACCAGAGTAAATTCAAATACAAAACATAAGATTTAACTTCAATTTCTCTTCTGTAATACTTCATGAATAAATAGTTGATAAATCGGTTATGTCGCCTTGACATATTTACCGGTACAAATACCACGTGATCAGCGCCATTAAATAAAGCAGCATTTTTAACGCCATTTTGGCTATTTAAACTTTAACGTATATTTTCATCAGAAATAGAACAGATTCTCATGAAATATATTGAGTGTGTTTATAATGTAACAAACAACTATCGAAATTCAGTTTTCAGAAAAGCTTCAAATACCCTATTTGATAGACGTCAAATGTGACTTTTTACTATGACCCAACTGTGTAACAAATTTCTGATCGATAATTTCTATTTCTGTGACAGACAGATAGACAACCGAGAGAATAAAGGTTATGTTTTCACTTTTTGATATCGGACCATAAAAATAGTTGTCGATGTGTTTTAGATGGTTGATTTAATAATATAGTTAAGACTATAAAAATCACTAAGGTGATTATAGACATTACTTTAGAAGAACTTCAGAGATAATCATTTATAATGAAAGTAACGTGAAAATACGAGAAAACATTTAAAATTATTTATTATAATCTCAACTTAGATTCGTGCATAGTAAGAATCTTATCAACGTCGAGAGCTCGTTCTTTCAACAGCGCCATCTCTTGATCATTCAGTACATTAGTTTTGCCGACGTTCTTCAGTAGGAAATGTTGTACAAACAGCCTTACACTTTCTCTGAACATGTGCAGTTTGGGCGGTTTGGAGACCCGGTGAAATACCTCTAAGGACGCTTGAAGATCCACATTCAGGATTATGGCAAGGAGAATTCGGCGCATGAACTTGACTGTATGCTTGTTCAGATCGGAGAATTGGATCACCTGGGAAAAGATAACATTTTTACTATTCATAACATATCACGTTTGATTACTACCAAAATTAAAAGAATACTTCTTAAAACTAAGAAATGGCGCTGAAGAAACTGTTTCACCGACTAAGAGTCGAGACCTTTATTTTCTTTCTTTCGGTAGTTTTATATCTTTTGAGATAAAGCTACGACTGCGTCATTTTGACAGTTTTCTTCACCGTTAATGTACTTTAGATATCAGGTTATTATTCAATTTATCAAAACTTTTATATATCGAGTTATTTTAACAAAGAAATTAACCAAATGACTAAAGTGCGATTCACTTTCCAGATTAGTTATTACTATTGACCTTCAGTATTGAGAGTGGCAGTCCCTTCGCGAGAATAAGATGCACCAAGAACTGCGCCAGGTTGGCGGCGCTGTGTTTAGGCAACGACTCCAGATCCTTGATCTTATCCCATGTCGAATATTGTATGGATAGCTGAAACGAAACAATGAATATTATATATTTGCGAATCTTCTTGCAACTAAAATTGAAATAGTTGTGCTTGAACTAAATATTTGATTCAAAAGCTTAAAATTTATTTATGATTTAAATTCAATGTCGTCGCAGAATTAAGATCAATATTCTCACTCCAATTAGCGTCCTTTATTTAAAAAAAGTATTTAGTTCCTTAGCAAGTAAGTCGCCACAGGAATCTGTATACTGCACTGTAGGCCAATTCTGCTAATGTTTACGTAATAATCGCATCTCGATAGAATCTCGACTACTTGCAACTTACCATTGTACTATTATTAGTGCAATGTCTTCGTCACACGTCGATGGTGATATGTTTAAAACACGTTGTCGAATTCATTATTTATGATCTGGTATCACCTTATTCTATAATTTATCTAAATTTCTTTTTCATATAACTAGCATTTTAATTATTTATATCTCAATGCAAAGTTCTGTTATATAAGATAAATACGCCTAATAAGGCCCACTGTTTTTGACAGCTGGAGTGCTATACAGCCAATTAAGGTACGTGTACAGTCAGTGAAGACAGAAAACGTTATTTAGATCTATTTCAGTATGAGTTTTTAACAATCAAGCGATAAAAACAGATAGCCCTATTAGACGACAGTACATTATATAACCCTGAGACTCCTACCTACTGATGACTTGGTTATTTTATTTAAATAATTCAAATTTACCTGATATTTCCTATCTGTGTCGCACAGTTTCTGCCCCAGCACAGCGTAGTAAGGGTTGTATGTACGCTCCTGGAGACAGCAAGCGAGTAACACATGAACTATCTCCTTCTCTTGATGACCACGAAGACCCAAGTGTTGTAGCTTCTCGAACGCGTCCATATAATCCTGGACATTAACGTTTATAGACATACACTTTTTTATATTCTCAAACATTGAGATGGAAAATGACACCATATTTTCATCAAGTAATTTTTCAAACTTCACGACTCTGTATTAAATTAAACAGGGTGAAAAACGCAGACCTTGTTGTTTCTTGCCGGTTCCTCAGACTAACGAACCGGTGGCATAGAGTTTCGACTTTCACGAGTGCTTTGTAACAGTCTATACTGAAATGATTTTGATTTGATCTGAGCCGGATGTACTAAAAATTACTTCGAGGACGACATTCTACTGGAATATTGTGCCAAGGCAGATGTTGTCATCTTGTATTATTTGCAATAACATATTGACGTTGTAGCTTTACAAGTTACGTTACTGTAACAATAGGTTTTCACAAAAAGATAGTCAAGTTTTCGGAATCAAAATTAATTTTAAAGGAATTGGGCGATAAATAATATAAACAGAGCACACCAGGTGAATGGAGATTTTTGACAATTTATATAATCTGATGTGTCATTGACTAAACTGAATATACAGAACAAAGGCGTGCGTAATAGTTGAAAAGAAAAAATAATCACTTACCATGACAAAAAATAATTAAGCAACACTAATAATTCAATGCTACTTTGATGCCTAATATTTCTTTTATTAATTTCTTTAGAGGCAGACCGAAGAAAAGATGGATCGACTGTGTGAAAGAGGATATGAATAAGAAAGGTGTGGATGTGAGGCTGACGTCTGATAGAGAAGAATGGAAGAAGAAAACATGTTGTGCCGACCCCACGTAACGTGGGATAAAGGGCAGGAGGATGATGATGATGATGAATTTCTTTTTATAATAAACTGTTTTCCCATGACTTTGCCCGTAAGTTATAGCCTATGTCACCCGCGTCGAATGATGTTCCGTAGATGAATGAAATTTTAAAACCTATTTGATGCAAACAAACAAACATTTCCTGTTTATAATATTAGTATATTAAATTAATCATTTCTTATTCATATTTATTTGATCCTTAGCAATAAGGCTGCTTTTTGAGTACTAAATTATTCACAACGTGTTTTTTCAACCATGTACAATAAAGTAATATTATTATTATTATTATAATGTAAGAACTAACCTCGGCGGTCATGATGGCACAGAAGATACTTCTCCTGACATCCGTATTCATTCTCTGCTTACGAGCCAGCTCCAGCAGCTTGGAGTCGGTGGTGGGAAGGAGGGTGGCGGGCGCGGTAACCTGCGTGGGTCTGTTCCCCTCCCACGCTGAGCCCACTACCCACCATTTCCCTCGCTCATCCGCTATCAAAATAATAATAAAATGTGTGACAACGTAAGTAATAAGATAAGACAGGAAAAAATAGCCCTTGCTCAGTGTAGATTCTCCTGTCTATTAAATAAATATATATGCATTGTCTCATGTACACTAGTAGAGGGGATAACTGTCAACTAATCAGTCGTAGTCACGTAACAGACGTGATACGGATTTTACGTGTACCTACACTTGTACTGTGTGTAGTAGTGAGCCAGTGATAAACAATTTTCAGTATAACTAAGGGCTAACATAGATCTTTACACTAAATTTTTTATCGGATTTTCTCAGTACAAGGTCTACGCAGTATAGTTTCTCTTTCACAAGTGATTGTAAGTAGCTCATACAGAATTAATTACATTTATACTTTTTTTCATATATCGTTTATGTAGGCCTAGTGCACGATCTAATTTTTTGTAACACTACTTGTTTTCCCGTGACTTCGCTAGCATAAATTATATTCCATAAGTGAGAAAAATTTTAAAATAGTTTCCTCTTTATAACATTAGTATAATCAGTGGCGTAACTAAACCGTTTGAGGCCCGTGGCAATTTCATCGAATATTCAATTTTTTAACTAATTGCGTAATAATAATTGTCAGTCTTCTCTGACCGGGGGCCCTTTCCAGCTCGGGGCCCTTGGCATTTTGCCCCTTCCAGCTGGGGGCCCTGGCATTTTTGGAGGCCTTGGCATTTTGCCGACTTGCCGCCCTGTACTTATGCCACTGAGCATAATCTACATTGGGTCGACTGGTCAAAAACCTAACCAGGTGAAGTGGAGCTGTGTCAATATTTCGCTAAAAAGGGAATGGACAACGTCTTAGTACTATTATTGTGTTTATATCAAGCAACCTCTCTGAGGTCGGATAGCAAAACGTATTACAGGATAAACTTCCGTATTTTTATGAAATTGGGATAAAAGGTTTTTTACGACTTTTGCTTATTACTCGTACAAAATACAAGGTAATAGCTGATTTCTAAAATAATATTAATATAAATATTTTTATTTTCTAAGCTATTGTAATTGTATTTAGGCCTGGTAACGCTCAACGCTGTAACTGCTCCTACGGCGTTTAGCTGTTAGACGGAAACCTTTTGTTACCTACCTTTCAACAAGTCGTCTAATCGTATATGCAGCGGCGTGATGTAATTCCCTCTTCGTATGACACTTTTTATTTGTTTCCTAAGGTGTTCACCGTACGTGGGGTCATAGTTGGGTATCTTGGTCAAGTTGTTATTCTTGACGGCCATCAGTACTTCCAGAAGGAATTTTATACGCGACCTAAAGAACGGTAGTAATTAGAAAGGCACTAACGTGGATGTTAATTAAAGAAAGTGATATGTCATCATCATCATCAACCCTTTTACGTCCCCACTGCAGGAGCTCAGGCCTTCCTTATGGATGGTTAAGGAGGATAGGCCATGACCCTCCACTGCAGGGCTCAGGCCTTCCTTATGGATGGTTAAGGAGGATGGGCCAAGACCCTCCACGCTGGCCCAATGCGGATTGGAGGGTATTAACGACTGCAAATGCAGCCGGGACCAACGGCTTAACGTGCCTTCCGAAGCACGGAGTAGCTCGAGATAATAATTTTTTGGTCACCCATCCCGTAGTCGACCCTTGCGAAAGTTGCTTAATGACAACCATCGCGGACCGCGGCGCTTATCCACTACGCCACCGAGCTACTCCTAAGTGATATGTACAATAGGGAAACAAATAGTTTCAAAAAAAAAAATGAAACATATCCACGTAAATTTATTGTAAATCTTATATTGATTTGTGTTGTACATAGCATAGCTATCATCGTATCGTCATCAACAGCCTATTAATGTCCCCACTGCTGGGGCATAAACTTTCCCTATGGCTGGAGCTAATTAAATGGAATAGGGAGAATGGGCCATGCTTCGTCTCACTTGAGCAATTTATGAAAGATCTTGTTCTTTTTGGAAGACCGCAAATAAAACATTGTCAATGAGTCTGAGTCCCACTTGCCCAGTTTTTTGGTTGATGTAATACTTTCATATACACCAAAGGGCTTAACTGCATACAAAAATAGTTAAACAATAATAAACTTACCCATCCGAAGCAGATCTGTTGAGTGCAGCTATTTTCGCTTGGGTATCTTGTATGAACGTTTTGAGAGCGAGAGGTTCATCTTTCCGCAACACTCCGCCCACAGTACGTAATACACCCACCACACACTCTATATTCTTCTCAGACAGATCTTCAAGGAGGCGACCCAGTATATCATATAATAACGACGCGTTATAGATCTTAGGAAAAATTATATCCATTTGAAATACAAAGCGTAGGTACCATAATGTATTAAAAATAAAAAACAAAAAATCACAACTAGAATATTGTATTATGAATTTCAATAAAGTGTATACTTAATAGTTTTTTCGATTTGTTATCCTAGTATGTATACACGAATCCTTCAAATTTAAATTTAAAATTGCTAGTAAGAATATAGTACTTAAATAAATATATATGATTTATTGGTATAAAATAAATTACAACTCCAGATGTTACATAACTTTAAAACATATATGTCCAACAAATCAGTCTCAAATAACTCCCTTAAATGCAATCAGTGATTATGAGTTACCTTAAAACTGTACAGATGTGCCAAACAACACACAAGATTATCTAATCTCTTGTCTTCCATTGGCTGTGGAATTTGCATCATTTCATCAAACTTTTTGGTCAGTTCTAACAAAAAATGGGCACCTGCAAAAATACAAATAACTTCAAAACTTCTGTATGGATTGCCTAGTCCAAACGATATGATAAAACGTTATCATGTGGACCGACAATTAGAATACTCTGTATAGGATACAGAAGACCTACTCTGACTCTACTACTCTAAAATCTAAATTTCAACTATTTTCGAAATGCTAAAATGACTTTAAAGAAATCAATTTTTTTTATTTTATGATGCAACGGAGGTAGGGCCTGATAATCTCCACAGATATGATTTAGATAAAATTATAGGAACGATTTGAAATTTTCCGAATTATCTTTCGTGGAGAAAGAGGCCCTCAGGATAATATCATTGTCTCACCAATCTCTGTAGCGATGTTGGCATGCAATACTGCGATTAGTGCGGCGTGCTCTGAAAGCAATCTGTGCGGAGTATGTGCAATTCCTATAGTCGCTTCAGTCCACACCTGGGACAAGGTACTATTCACTGCATTACGGCTATTACTACAATACAGGTTTTCGATACTTGTACATGACCAGTGTAAGTTGGTACCAGCCAATTTATTCAGTACACCTGAAAATAAACAACGATGTGTAACACTTAACATATATAAGTGTAGAAATTCTATTGATTCCATTTTTTGTATAAAAATACAAAACAAAATCGATTGATTCATACATGTCTCAGATATTCTACTCCTATGTCATTTCGAAACTCACTTAAATTCGAAGTGAATTTGAATTCGGGTTCGGATTTTTGCGGAATCGCTCTCCCGAACTCAAACCTCATTGCTACATAGCAATATAAATATGGAGTTATAAAACTTAGTAATACGGGTGTAGACAGTAAACAAAAATTAATGCTTTTTTTCTGGTAGTGTTTAATTACCGATAATCACACTTTTAATGCCTTATCTTCTATAATATATAAAGCTTAATTATTTATAATATTGCTTAAATAAATATGAAAAAAAAAACTAATATTTTATACTCGTTGTCACGTGACCGCAAACAGCGCCTGAAGTCAGGACCCTCTTACTCATAGCAGAACATAGAGAATTCAACTTCATGCATACATAGAACGACATTAGTTTCAGAGGGCCGTGACGTCATAGGGACGCCATAATAGAAATTAAATTTATTTATAGATTTTAACTTATTATATGAATGACACTTTTTAAATATTTCTTTGTTGTTTCAAATATATTTCATGTATATCTATAACATAAATATATAAAAATCTGTTTGTGAGAAACATAATACCAATACTTACTTTTGATCTGTCGTTTCAATTGTGTCAAGTCTTTATCTGTATCAGAAACCTTATTCCTTAAATGTGGAGGAACATAAGTACCTTTGTCTTCCTAAAATAATAAAGGCTTATGAATGAAAAATGCATAAAAAATACTCTTTATCCCTGGCACTCTGAGATGGGACTCAAACTTTTCCCATCTCAGAGGGTATTTTTCAGTATAGCATTGTAAATGCTAAATTGATCAAATATAATAAAGGCATATATTAATTAATTTTATCTTTGTTGCATAAGGAAAGTGTGTTCTCTCCAGCATTGAGGACATGTAAGATAACGGTGATTATAAAATCAATAATGCTTTCAGTAAAAAGCTGTTACTAAATTCTGTTACTCAGCCAACCAATAGATTTTTTTTTTAATTCCTAATTTAGGACACTACAGAGGTATAATTCATTTTGATATTTGAAAAATATTCACGAACTTCTCAAAAACTATTTGACATATAACAGAAATTGTGATCATGTCTTTTTTTAAATATGATGAATAAGCAATAGCTCTAATTTCACGTTAATTGGAATTGCCAAGGCCAAGACCAAGTTTTTATTATGTCTCTTGGTCATTCAAATCATCATTTGTTCAAAAAGTGCTTTGCTTGCATTGCTTCTTTAAACATTACATGATTCCAAAATAATCTATCACAAACTAGTCAACATTTTATTTACCTTGATTACATTTCCTTCTTTATCCCGTTTCCTTCCATAAATATCTTCCCAAAAATCAGGTTTTTTTCCTTCTTCTTTCTTCTTTATTTCTGTTTCAAAACCATCAGATAAATGTTCCTCATCTTCATTATCATCACCAGATAAGTGTGACACTTCATCATCACTAAATACTTTACACAAATCTTCTTCCATAATTACTGTGCCTTTATTACCATTTTTTTTATTTAATTCATAATTAGACATTTGTTTTCTTTTGGATTTTGCAGGTGGTTCTGAAATTATTTAAAAAGTCACATATTGGTGAGAATAAAAGATGATACCAAACAGTACATAATGATAAACAAATTACTAAGCTTTTATCATTCCCGTTACTTAAGATTAAGCTTATCAATATGTATATCAACTGTTACAAATGAAAGTGTACTAATATAACTCCAAACGTCTGGCATTTGAGGTAATCTTTTGATGGTTTTCATCACATGTTCATAAAATTCAGGCAGTGGTTCCATGTAGATATTCCTACCTGCCAATGCCACAAGGGTCTTTTCTATGGCCACTGCTCATTAATATATTTGTGAACGACATCTCCTGTTGTTAGTCGAATAGTAAGCAATGGTTACTATGTTAACGTTTTAATTCCCTATACAAAGTTCGACGCTCATTTTTATACCTTAATATGTGTTAGAAAATTTTACATATTAATTAGAGCACTGCTCTCACACAAATTTACGCATTGAGATCATAAATTCAAATGCAAATATACTTATAATAATAATAGCTGATCCTATTATAATACCTTCAGGTTCATCATGATTAGTGTCTTCTGTATTTGATATTCCATCTATCTCACTGAAATCATCTTCATAATCACTTTCTTCAGGGTCGTCATTATTCATATCGTCACTGCTGACATTATCCAAATCATCCTCAGTGCCTGTTTCATCCATATCATCATCAGACTGTTTATTTTTTTGATCTTGAGATTTCTTTTTACTATCTTCTTTTCCTGTAACTAGAGCCAAATCTTCCTCAAATTCGGATTCCCCATCAACATCCGCTAAATGCTTTTCTGCTGCAACAATTTGCTCACTGGTGGCCCTCTCACATATCTCTAACAAATCTGAATTGATTATTAAGGAGAAAAACATATACATTTATAAGTAAAATAAAATTAAAATTTTAATAAAAAAATAAAATAAAATTTTTGAAAATTATACTGTAATACTTCTTTATTTATAACTTACGTGCATAGTTACAGGTATTAAAAATAATACTAAAGTTAAACTGCTTAAATACAAAAAGCTCAATCATTAATAAAATAAATTAATATCACATTTTCCTTATTATAATAAAAACCTGAACCACATTAACAATATTATTTCCTCAAATCGTGTGTTAATCATCAATCAAAAAGGATACAGTCTAACCCATCATCAGCAAAAAAGTTCTTTTTGTTTTTGCACTTGTTAAGTCCTAATTGTTTTTCTAATTTCTTGATGATTTTATCTTCATCTTCGTTAGCTTGAAGAAAATTTTTTTTTCTCTGTTCATCCATTTGCGATTGAAGTCTTTTAGTTTCTCTAATATCTTTTTGCCTTTCTCTGTTAATAACATCTTGGGGATCAAGCTGAAGTCTCTGTTTTTTCATCTGTAAAACATAATGAACGAATAACTTAATAAATAAGTCAGGCCATTGAGCTTAAACATAAATATGGATATTCCACTGAAATGTATTGATCACTATGATTTCTTTCAAGAACTCAGGTAAATGTATAAAAATTGAAGTTTAAGTTTCAAAAGAATATTCTAATTTTCGGTTCCGGTTTTTAAAACAAATACGTCAACATCAATAAATTTGCGCTCCTGTTCTTTTAATGTAAAAGTGAGTAAAAGTGTTCTTCACTACCGGATTTATCGCTGATATTATAGCTCATCAACCGACGATCAGTTCAAGTTAGTGAATACAAAAGACACAGTGCTATATTGAAAATTTAAAGTGAATTATTTTTAAAACATAACCTCAAAACAATTCGAGATAGACTCATTGACAATCAGTAGTGCCAACCAACACAAGCGAGAACTGCGTTCCGTTTGACGCACTGACGGATTTGGTGATACCAGGGTCAAATTTTTTTCTACCATCTTAGTGGAGTTTAATCGGAACTATGTCTTCGAAACATATATGTAGTGGTTGCCTAAAGCAAATTGTCAACAAGCAAAATCTTAAGTGTACACAGTGTAAAGCACTTTACGACATCGATTGTGCCAATGTTGCTTCGGATCGTTTCAAAGTAATGTCCAACGAGCTTAGGATGGGTTGGAGCTGCCCGCAGTGCAAGTGCAAAGAACCAAAGTCGGACAATACGAATACTCCAATCCGCGGTGCTGCAGCACCAGTGCAGCCCTCAGCAAATGTCACAATACGCGGCCCTAAATCAAAATCCTGTCGTGGCTCATCGTGTGAGGAAGATAAGCCTGTCGCTGAAAGTGAGGGAATGCGCTCCATCATTAGAGAAGAAATACAAAACGCACTCAAAGGTATGATGAATGAACTGTCCAGTATCAAGGATAAAGTGTCGTCATTCGAACATTCATTGACATTCTTCAACACTTGTTTCGAAGATCTCAAAAAAGACTTGACGAGGAGTCCGGTCTTGTAAAGGAACTGCGCAATACTAATGAAAGCCTAGAAGTCCGCGTTAAAACCCTTGAGAATGAATTTAACAACAGAATGAATACATTGGAACAAAACCAACGCGAGTGCAATATAGAAATTAACGGAATTCCCGAAAATCGATCCGAAAACATTCTGAAAACTACAGTTGCAATAGCACAAAAAGTAGACTGTACTCTCTCTGAAGGTGATATCGTCCATGGCACCAGAGTTGCAAAAATAAAAAAAGATACGGACAGACCACGAACTATCGTTGTAAAGCTGCGTACTCGCCTACTACATGACAGCGTTCATGCAGCGGTGCAGAAGTTTAACAAGACTAACCCCCGTGACAAATTGAGTACTAAGCATCTGAGTTCAGGAGGCGCCGCTCAACCTATCTTCGTGTCTGAACATCTGAGCCCATATAACAAGTCTCTCCACGCCGCTGCTAGAATGAAAGGGAAGGAGCTCGGATACAGATTCGTCTGGGTCAGAGATGGGCGCATCTACGTCAGGAAGAATGAACACTGCCAAGCTTTCCAAATTCGTAATATGGACAGTTAAAATTTTATGAAGTAGTTTTAAGCATCTTTTTGTGTAATATTTTTTAGGTTTATATTAGTTGCAATGGCTAATTTTTATTATCAAAATGTTCGTGGTATGCGAACTAAAACTGTTGGAATCCTTAATAATGTGTCACTTTGTTCATACGATGTTATAGCTTTCACTGAAACGTGGTTGAATTCAGGTGTCTTGGATGGAAAGCTATTTGATTCTCGTTATGTCATCCATAGACGCGATCGTAATTACCTGAACTCTTCAAAGAGAGACGGAGGTGGAGTGTTGATAGCAGTTTCATGCATTTGTAGATCAACTCGCCAGCAAGCCTGGGAATCCGCAAGCTGCGAGGATATTTGGGTGGTTGTTGAACTACGAGTAGGTAAGAATATCAAAAGAGTGGCAGTCGGCACAGTATATATCCCACCACCAGTCTCTCTTAACACCCTTAATATATTTTTAGAAAATGCCAATAATATTACCCAACTGGTAGATGAGGTTGTGCTTTTGGGTGACTTCAACTTGCCTTCTCTCTTGTGGACTAGAAGTAACAATCGCATGCACGTTAGCAACTGTAACAATTTATTGGGTAATGCCATGGTCGACTTTTTGTCGGTGAAAAATATGTTACAATTTAATCACATAACTAATGAGGATGATCGAATACTTGATCTTGTTATAAGCACTGTGTCAGATGTAAGCATATCGGAACCATTATGTCAATTAAGTAAGGTTGACCATTATAATAACTTTAACAGAGAGCGAAGCAAACTATCTACGCCCCAATACACGAATAGAACATAACTTTTTTAAAGCCGATTTTATTAGCATTTCAAATGAACTCAAGCAGATTGAATGGAATTATACATTTGCCGCAGACCTCTCTTTAAATGAAATGATTTCAGTTTTGAATTCAAAAATTACTAGCTTGATTGAAAAATTTGTACCTAAACACAAGTTTAACAGGAAAGCATACCCCGCCTGGTTCAATACACCATTGTTGAAGTTATTAGCCGCTAAAGAAAAAATTAAAAAACGATATCGTGTATATAACAACCCTAGAGACCTATTAGAATTCAAAATCCTTAGAGAACGAAGCCACAAAATGCTGGATTCTCTGTACTCGAATTATATGTACAAAACGGAGAGTAGTCTATTGAATGATCCTAGAGGGTTTTGGCGTTATGTAAAGGACAAGCGAAAGACTCGATCAGAATTCCCCGCTGAACTGCGTATGGAGGATAAAATAGGGCGTTCAGGTTGTGAGATAGCCAATCTGTTTGCCGAAAATTTCTCAAAAATAGTCAGTTTACGCCCTTCTCCAGTTTCACAATCTAACACAAGGCTTATTAATACCGTATCTGATGGGTACGTTGGTACTGCTACTGGTGTAAGCAGCATATTTTTCACTGAGAGGGAAGTGCTAAAACAAATAAAGAAGCTAGACATATACAAGGGACTTGGGCCTGACGGCATCCTCCAATACTAGTTAAACGCTGTGGATCTGCTCTTGCTCTGCCATTATCAATTATCATTAATAAGTCCTTGTCATTGGGGGTGTTTCCAGATGAGTGGAAAGCAGCAAAAATAATACCAATACACAAAAAGGGCAATTTAAACGAAATAATTAACTACCGGCCTATATCAATCTTATCGTGTTTTGCTAAACTTTTTGAGGCACTCGTCTGTCCCATTGTTTCAAATCATCTTAACCCCCTTCTCTCTCAACACCAGCATGGCTTTGCGAAAAGACGTGCTGTCGAAACTAATCTGGTAAGTCTTATAACTGACTTAGCCAGGGTCGTTGACAAGGGATTACAAGTCGACGCTGTTTATACTGATTTTAGCAGCGCTTTTGATTTGGTAAACCATAAGCTGCTGCTTGTGAAACTCGAATACATGGGAATCCATGGGCCACTCCTTGAATGGTTCCGCTCGTATCTATATAAACGGAAACAAGTTGTAACTGTAAACGGGTTTGAATCTGATACTTATTATACTGAGTCGGGGGTTCCTCAGGGGTCACATCTTGGACCTATCTTATTTTCAGTTTTTATTAATGATTTAACTAAATACATTCAAAATTGCAAGTATAAGCTATTCGCCGACGATTTAAAGATTTACCGACAAATTGACAACATAAATGATTCCAAATTACTGCAAGCTGATGTTAATAGAATAAATGAATGGTGTGACCTAAATCAAATGCATCTTAATGTCAAGAAATATTTCTACATTAAATATACACGTAAAAAAACACCCATAAACTCAACATACTCTTTGAATGGGACTACTTTACAGGAAGTCAATGAAATACGCGATTTAGGTATTCTGATTGATAGCCAACTAACTTTTAAACCACACGTTGACTCCATTGTGAATAAAGCAGCAAAACAACTGGGTTTCATCAGACGTCATACAAAAAGTTTTCGGTCGTACCTATCGAGAATTGTGCTTTACAACTCATACGTGCGAAGCTGTTTGGAGTTCTCGAGCGTAGCTTGGAATCCTTTTTACGCTCAGCCCTCTCAGCGAATTGAGAGCATCCAGCGCGCGTTCACAAGGTCGCTTGCATATACGTACTCTGGAATTTCCCACAGAACACCTTACAAAGATCGTTTGGAGTATTTCGGGATGCAGAACTTGCAACAGCGTAGAACTATTCGCGATGTCTCGTTTCTATTTAAAGTTGTTCGTAACTCCATAGACTGCCCTCAAATTTTGGAGCAAGTATCCCTCAACGTACCACACAATTACCCTCATCACAGAATCAAAAACGTTTTTAACGTACCTCTCGCCAGAACCAATTTAGGCTTCAACTCACCTCTGACACCTACGACATATTCTTTGTCGTAGTTACAATAGACTGTGTGCACAATCGGAACATCTGGATATTTTTAATAATACACATAAACATTTTGTAAAGACTGTATCGGAAACACTTAAGACCTCTTAGACCTATATTTCTTTGTTTTCTTTTAATGGGTTTATAAAGTTCCCTTGTTTCTGTGTTTTCTCTGTTTTTGTAATTTAATTTATTTAACTAATTTTAATCTATAAGAATCAGAAGTTAGTCCTAAATATTTTGTAAGCGTTGTAAACACCTATAATTGGTGTGCATACCAGAATCTTTATAATTATGTTCAATTTAAGACTTAGTTTAGTATGTGCACTGTTGGTGTTTCTTTTAAATAAATAAATAAAAATACGTACAGCAACGACCTCCGTAAAAAATATTATAGAATCAGTGCAAAACAGTGAAAACTTTCTACCAACAAGTGCAATTCCTACAAAACAAAGACTAGTGAATATGCAGAAGTAGTGATCACAGTGCGAGAGATGAATATTACGTGAAAAAGTAATTAATGATAAAATGAATACAATAATTAAAGAAAACAAATACCTTAAAAATAAAATAACGCAACTTGAGTTGAAAATCAAATCATACGAAAGTGAGAAAAAAAGAATAACCTAGTGTTCTTTGGAGTGGAGGAGAAAGAAAAAAATGAGACAGAACTGATAAACTATATAAAAGATATCGTAGAAGACATAGGAGTACACATGAATAGTCAAGAGATTAGTCAAGTCTATAGAATTGGAAGAAAGACAGAAAACAAAAACCAACCGGTTGTAGCCTCACTCACAATAATCTGGAAAAAAAATCTTATACTCGAAAACAAGACAAATTTGCCACCCAACATCTATATAAAGGAGGATTATTCTAAGGAAACCCTAGAAATACGTAAAAAACTTCAACCCCAAGTGGAGGAAGGAAAGAAGAAGGGAATCATCGCCTATTTAGAAAAGGACAAACTTAAAGTAATCAAACCGAAAGATAATATTAG